GCAGTAAATCAAAGAAACACCAGTTACAAATTGTTTAGACAGTAAAAGAAGAGAGGACATTAAATGGTGCAATGAAGGCATACACCAATGTAGATTTCATATGCAGTGAGAGACAAACAGGTCAAAGGTTCTCTTTTTTACAGTGTTGAACCACTAACATGCTGACTAGTGCAACTCTCTTACAAATGACAATATCACATGCTTCAAATGCTTTCTTCCCCAGCACGGGGGAAGCGACACAGCAGACATTAAATAGAAATCTACATAACCAGCCTGAGGGCCAAACAGCATTGAAGATTTGGAGTATGCAGTTGAAATCGCATATAATGATCATGTGCATGGTGAATATAGCAGATTGGTAAGAAAATGCTTAAAATATTCATATTTTTGAGGAAAACAAAACATATCCTGTATTTACCTGACCCTAACCAATGGATGCAACAATGCGGGGAATATCAGCAAGGCAAATAAACTGCAGAATCTTAATTGCTGCTTGGGTGCACATGACTCCAGCAATGTTACAGCCTGCCTGTTGACTTTGATAGTAGTAGGAACTGGGGAAACCATGTTTAAGCAAGTAATGATGATCTATTGTAGAAGTTATTTTCTTAACATTCCAACTCCATCTAATGTTTTTAGAAAATGTAAGATATTAGAGCCCAACTCGCATTGGCTGTAATACTTACCTCCTCTCCATTATGTCTGCTTCCAGACTCGCAACTCCAAGGTCCATGTTCTGGTCCTCTTCAGGTTTAAATGACGTCCAGCATCACTCAACCCTCTTCCTGTGAGCCCAAGGTGTCGAGGGCCTGCCTCCTCTGCTGGGTACATCATCAAGTCTTGGGCTAATAGAAGAATGCTGCAGGGTGACCACATATCATTATGTATCACCCATTTGCAGCACTCAGAACTCACCCACCAATGGAGAAAGAAGAGAACTCATGACGTTATACGCCTGTATGGAAGGGCCACTAAAACAAAAATCTTTTTTTTTTTTAAATAAAGGCAGCAGGGGATTCACCAAGGCGGTTGGGATTCTTCAAGGCGGTTGGGATAGAAACCAGTGGGGCAGCCCAACCTTGTGTTGGGCCTTAGATGCCCATAATGTGCATTGCGTTCAAGTCCAATTGGAATAGGTTGCCAACACACCAGAATGGGCAAAAAAAGTGTAACTGCAGTTATTTTCCCAATGTGGTGCACAACAACGCATAGTAGTGTGTTAATGTGCATTGTGTTTTGGGGCCCCCTTTTAAAATGAAAGGCACTGCAGACCACCAGCAACATTCAAGGTGCATTACCATAACATTATCGGTGTGACTAGGCCCTAAAGCTGGCCAAACACTGTTAGAAATCTATGGCCAGCTTCAGTTTACGCATTTTCTTCAATGTGTCTGCTACTGACATTCTATAGAAGCAGCAGTGAAGAAGTCGAAGCTTTGTTCAATTTTTATCAGCCAGCACAGACAAACTGCACTGTAGATAAACTATGATGAATTCTACACTACAGCGTAACAGTCCTTACATAAGCAAAACCTTTTACCAAGAACTTCTAATGCAAATCTGTTAGAGGGAATATTATTTATGCCGTTGATAAGTAGGGGAAACAGTAGAGCAAATACAATGAACCCTAAGTAACCATCAGTGATGTGTCATTAAAATAGCAAAGATTGCAATATTTTTACTAGCATGAAAAAAAAAACAATGATTCGCATTCATGTTTCTGTGGAGTGCAACATGTGCATCAGAAATAGCATCATTCCTGCTTTTGGTACATATAATTAATGTGTCAAGCAGGACTCCTTATCAACCATGGTCATTGCATCACAATTTGCAACTTTTTTGCACTTCTCCCTGTTGAAATTTCTTGCTCTGCACCACCAATAGTTTATTGGGGGCCTATTTTATTCAAAGCTGAAGTTTAGTTTAAAATGTTGTAGTGGATACAGCACCAGGGACATAACTTACCTCTAGGGATGTTCAGATACCAGTGCCGATACAGTGGTACCTCACGAACGCTTCTGTTCACAAACAATCCCATTCGCGAACAGGAAGTTCGTCAAAATTATGCTTCCGTTCATGAACTCCGCTTCGGGTGACGAACACAACCGCAGCCATTTTCCCTGCTCTGACAAATGGTCGTGGCTTCCTCTAGTTGAGATTGCGGTCTGATCACAGTTTGATTCGGTCCATGACCAAATCGGTTCGCGACCAGAATCGCGGAACGAATTACGTTTGTGAACCGAGGTACCACTGTACTTGGCATTTTCACAAGAACTACCAGGTTTGCTGTGGTTGCAGCTGGGACCTGGCTCTGGCGCTCCACCACTGTCCTGAAATCATTAGTCTGTATTGTTTTAGAAAAACTATCACATGACAATAAACAACTTGGGCAAGTATCAGTACTTGGAAAAATGGTATCGGTGCATCCCTTATATATATATATATTACCTTAAAACTTATATATATATATATTACATTAAAACAGGGATGCACAAATCCCAGGAGCTCCGTGTGCTCCTTACAAATGACAGCTGCCTCCTAACTTTTGAGTTTTTATCTAATCTAGTCTTGGAGCTGGAAAAGTATCTGTACTTGTACCGAGTACGGTACTTGGTATCTAAACATCCCTACTTACCTCTAATGAAGGGTATTCCATGTCCTGATGGTTCCCGTAGCAATCTTCCCTCCTCGGACATCGGTTACTCCCACATCAGTGATCTTCTGGGGCTGAAGGGGTTAAGATTAGTGGCTGCCACTGTGCAACACTCGCCCTGCCTTTCCTTGTCACTCGCCCATTCACAGAATTCGTAGTATTTTTCCCCAGAATGCAAAGCACTCTGTGACTGGAGCAGGAAGATCCTGTCATTCATCCACCTGTTCTTCATTCACAGAACGCTGTCAATCAGCAGAGGAGGGAACTAAAGGAGAACGTTTTCCTTTAGGTACGCCTCTGCTGATTGACAGCAGGCGGGTGCAATACAGCTGCTGATGGGAGACTTGATGCCGGTGTTCTATCAATCCCTCAGACTCGAATCCAAGGGATTGATAGAACACTGGCAGAAGAGGGGGCATGGGTTAGCAGAGAAGGGAACGGGGCGGGCAGCGGAGGAGGAACGGGGCGGGCAGCGGAGGAGGAACGGGGCGGGCAGCGGAGGTACAAAGGGGGGAGGCAGCAGGGGAATGCAGTCACCGCAGTCTCTCCTCCCCGGGTGCTGACTGCAGTAGTCTGTGTCCCCGCTGCCTCTGCCGATACAGTGGGGAAGAGCAGCGGGGATTGAAAGGGACACAGACCACTGCACCAAGAACCAGCAGGGAGGAGAACAGAGGAGCAGAGCAGCGGCAACTAATCAAAAATTAACTAATCTATGATGAGAATCGTTGCCAACGATTCTCATTATCGATTATAATCGATTTGTTGTAGCAGCCCTAATCACCGCTGTCAGGAGTATTCAACAGGGGTATTAAGCCAGTGGAGTAAGGAGTTCTACACTCCTTACGCTCCACTTCAGCAATGGAAAGATCTTAGACTGCCAGATTGGAGGTTTCCTAACACATGCACATTACAATATGTTACATTTTTCTAGGGATGCACTGGTGCCGATACTGGGCATGTTCACGAGTACAATCAGCTTTTTAAACACAAGCGGCTGCCATAAGGTCCCGCGCTCGCCTGTTGACAGCGCCGGACGAACATCTCCTCCTCCACGCTGCCTGCACAGACCTGATGAGACCCGTACCCACCAATACAGCCCTGGCGAGACCCGCACGGCCCTGATGAGATCTGCACCTGCCCACACAGCCCTGGTGAGACCCTGTGCACAGCCCCGGGGAGCAACACAGAGTATGTAGCTTCATATTATTCTGCAGCGCTGTATAACGTATCGTTGGGATTTGTAGTCATCTATGGCTGGTGGTATACTGCATTGCTGTATAATGTATTGCTGGAATTTGTAGTCACTCTACTGCTTGGAATCGGTGGCAGAACTACCAGGTACAGCGGTTGTAGCTGCGTCCGGGCCTTGGCACTCCATCACTGTCCTAAAAAGGTATCGGTAATTGGTATTATTATTATACAGGATTTATATAGCACCAACAGTTTGTGCAGCGCTTTACAATATAGGGAAGACATTACAATCACAATACAATTCAAGACAAGATGGTAAGGAGGGCCCTGCCCGTTGGGGCTTACAATCAGCGAGAACTTGAGGAAAAGTATCTGTACTCGGTCTGGAACAAATGGTATTGGTGCATCCCTAGATTTTTCCCTAACAAAAATCACATTGACGGTTAGCATTTCATTTGTTCAGATAAGAAACTAGAAACATTTTCCAGCCTGCTCCTTTGATTTTCCTGGTCACTACAGTTAAACAGGACTGCGGATTGGATGAGTATATCTACTTTGTTTTCGACCCCAGAATGAGCAGTTAACCCTTGCAGTGCAGGGGTACCCCCACTACAAAGGTTAAGATTTAATTTGCCCGGAGTTCTTTAACCCTTTAAATTCACAATACAACCTCCTTGTAATCAGCTAATTTTCTCACTCTAGCAGAGCATTGCAGATCATATTTCCAAACAGCTGATGGCTGAGCTCATGAATGAACCCAGATACTGACAGCTCCAGCAGACCACGGCACTATTACTGAGCGATCTGCTGCATCCCAAGCACTCTTTGTATGATGACAGGTTCTCTTCGAGCTCTTGTACCGCTAGCTGCAGGCCACTTGCCTAATACATTGCTACTCACACACATGACATACAATCACCAGCCTGTTATTAGATATACATAACGCTGGAGTAGAGAACCCCGTGCTATGCAGCAGCTGCTATCCCCCTCCCCATACAGAACATGTGCAACCCTGATCAAAGAGGAGCACCCCGGGCACAATGCTCTGTCATCTGGAGCCCTTGTACACCTGACAGAGAACAGCACTGTGCCGGTGTGTGCTATGGAATTGTACGCCGTGTCAGAACCGGAAATAGCAATGAATGGGGACACTCACGGTGGTGCGGTATGTAGCAGCAGACGGTCTATGTACAGCTGTGTGCGCGGCGCTCAGTGCCAGCTCTGTGCTGCGGTGGCTCCAAGTCACATGGTAGGCTGATGTCACCTCCAGTACGGGGGCCGGCCTAGGACAAAACGTCTGCAGGCTGTGCCTTCATCAGGGCGTAACGTCAGCGTCGGAGGGGAGCAAGCTGGAGCATGTCTGTGTGTCTCCGCTATACCAAAGCCAACTGCATTCCAGCTGCAGTGAAACTACAATACTCATAATGCCTTTGCCTCTGGAAGTCATGTTGCGGCTGTCAAAATCTTGCAATGCCTCACGGGACAATTACAATAACAAAACATTGAAAGCACTTCACTAATTTAGAAAACACCTCATTATGACCAAAACAGTAAAGCTAAATATGTGTGAAATTCTACATGAAATCAAATAACCATTACCTAAATAAGTCCCTGTTACCTACAATAATTAAGTGCACCAAATGTTTGGTATCATCACACTCTATACACAGTGCATAGACTCTGTATAGACATGAGGACGTTGAGGTGCAGTCCATCCAGTGGCGTAACAATCGCCATAGCAACCCAGGTGGTTGCTACGGGGCCCGCTGCACAGGGGGGCCTGACCAGGACATGCCGTACGGGCCGCCTGGGTATTTCAGGCTGCTGGCTATCACTGGTGGGAGGAGGAATGTGTTGCTGTTAGATCACCGACAACCTGTCAGTGATCTGTGCAGAGGTGCGTTCCTCCTCACAGCCGCTGCTGAGTTAGTGACAGCCAGCAACTGTGGAGGAGGAAGGCTTCGCCCGGCGTCAGAAGCGGCGGAGGAGGAGGCGGGCCCGGCGATGGAAGAGGAAGGAGGCAGGGCCCGCCAGCGACCATGAAGGCGGACAACAGATCGGGGCTGAGGTGTGCACCTGAGACCCTGCAGAGCCCACCATAGAAAGTCTATGGTCTCTGCAGTGTGACTCTCAGGTGGGCTGTTTGGGATATCAGGAAGTACCAGTATCAGTACTCGGCATCAGCGAGTACCGAAATATAAATATCGGTACTCATACTCGATACCAAAAAAACGGTATCAGTTTCCCGAGTGAAAATGGAACGGCAAAGTAATCGATAGATCTAGAGCAGGGGTGGGCAACTCCAGCCCTCTAGCTATTGAGCAACTACAAGTCCCATGAGGCAATGCAAGTCTGACAGCTACAAGCATGACTCCCAGAGGCAGAGTCATGTTGGTAGTTTAAGCACAGCCGGAGGACCGGAGTTGCCCACCCCTGATCTAGAGTTATAGGCGGCATAAATATATGTCATTGTCATGTTTTTCATGGTAAAGTTGTGCATGAGCCTTCCTATTGGTCAACCCAGTGATAATTGGCCTCATTACCCAATAGGGGGACCTGGAAGTTGGAAGGGTTAAGGCCAATGTTAGCTTTTACTGGAACAAAATATAGTATATAACTTCAGCTGCCAATACATTTAATTGTATTAACATGCAGTTTATATGAACGGTAACCTATGCTTATGCATTTTTTTATAGTATGCCTAGACATGTAACATGTTTACTTTAAAAATACATTCAATAATATATGTTTCCATTTATGAATACATTACTGAGCCAAATAGTTTGTTTTTATGTTTTCTGGAGTTCAGCCTTAGCGATTAGAGAGAGTATAATTATCTGTTCCCAAGATATTTCACAGCAATCGTGCCATCAGTACGAAGAAAAAGCACGACTTACAGATGTGTGATCACGAACAAGTTATTGATTTATGTTGTCAGTAATAACAATGTAAACACAGTGGTACTTGTCGTGAGAGGAACATACTCTGATCAATGTTGCTGTTTTTTAACCCATACCGAAAGTTTTTTATGTTAAGAAGACAGCATTTCGTATATAATCTAACTGTGTGTTTGTTTTTATTAGATCTGAAAGCAGATTATTGAATGGAGCCACTTCACTGAATATATGTTGTATTCCATTATGTCATGTCTGATGTTAAACTCAAAATAAGTTTGGACTACTGATTCTGAACAACACTGATGATGTGATATTTTGCAACAGTCCTGTTTATCCCTGGAAACTTCCCACCGGTTCAACTATTTGGTGATTGCAAGATAGCATGTGAGAAGGATCCAGCCATCTTTGTGAGCATGAAAACACCTTCCTGATGAAGCGCCTACAGTTGCGAAACGCGTCAAAGACTGGGCCCACAGTGGATTACACAGTTAACACATGGTTACGGACTCTTAAAGGAGAACTATGGGGTTAGGGCTTTTCCCCATAGTTCTCCTTAGGGTAACGGGAGGACACAAACTAGTGTCCTCCCGTCACCCTAAGCTCAGTATACCGCGGGCTACAGCTCGCGGTATACTGAGACGCCGCAGCTGAAGCGGATCCCGACAATTATGTCTGGATCCGCCCTGCTGCGTGAGTGACAGCTGGCAGAGTCTATGATATGATTATAAAATGTAAACACAAGTGTGGGTACCATAAGGAGGTAGCTTGTTTTTAATGTATCAGACCAATGATACTTTGAATGTAACCAAGTCTCTAAATCATGTTTATTTTAATGTAATAAAATCTTTTTTATACAAAACCATGTAGTCTTGATGGACATTTCGTATGGTTTGGACACTTTAAAAGCCCCGCTTTTCTCTATTTTTCTTGTATACATATGTCATGTCTGGTGTCACCTAGCAAGTGATTTTTAGGAATGAAGCCGATAACAACTGAAAGCTGTAAAGTGAAAGGGCACAATTATTTAATCAGATTTTGTACACTTTAAAAAAATCGATTTAAATAAAATGTCATATATATACTGGAGGGAATTGCTCTGTCTAGTTTGGGACCATGGATTAGTACAGGCTGGAGTGCTGTCCAGCCAACCCCCCAGGCTAGGCCTGGGGGTAGAGATGCTGGAGCGCGGGAAGTGTTTCGCTTGGCCTCAAGTATTGGAGGCCTGTGCTGTTGTCAGACGAGGAGAACCAGGGAAGCTCATGGCTGCTGGGGGTACCTGGAAGATAAGGGACTTTAGGAGCAATTCTGGTGTCTCTCCTGCTGAGGATCTGTGCTCATCTACTACTCAAATTCCTATTCGCTTTGCTACAAATGGATCTACACTGAAATGCTAAAAAGGGACTGGTGAGTCTGGAGCTGATGTCTGTACTACCCTGGATGTCTAGGATCCCTATACCTTCTCACCTCAGTGTGAAGATGTTAATAAAAGTTCTTCAGTGTTATACTTTTGGAGTGGATATCAGTTCTGGGCACTAGAAGAGGGTGGTTAATACTAGGGAGGCACGGATACCAATACTAGTATCGATATCGGTGCCGATACTGAGTATTTGGGGCGAGTACTCGTACTCGCCCAAATGCTCCAATGCCTAGCCCGATACTTCCTGTATCAGGAAGCCGAGCAGCTGTAACGCTCCTAGTTGCGCTGTTAGGATCTCAACGGCAGAGGTGTGTAACATTAACCGGTACAAGAGAGTTATTCAGTCTGAACTCCAGGCGTCTCTCTCAATCTTAAAACAGAGAGTTTGGAGCTACTAACATCATACACTGTGATTTTACACTAAGAGTTGTTATTGGTACGCTGCAACTACTGGTGGTTAATGATCTGGCAAGTATATAAATCAGAAGCAATGAAATGGCGAGTATTCAATCAGCAGTGATGATATGGCGAGTATTCAATCAGCAGCAATGATATGGCAAGTATATAGTCAGCATCAATGATATGGCAGGTATTCAATCAGCATCAATGATATGGCAGGTATTCAATCAGCATCAATGATATGGCAGGTATTTAATCAGCAGCAATGATCAGAGGAATGAACCAGTTAAGCCAGAGGTGTTAGCCTGCTCCAGTGGAAGGATCTATTCAGTCCTGATCTTGTAAGTCCAAGTAACTTGTGAGATTCGTTGTGGTGGAGCTAGCAGTGGAACGCCGCTGCTTTGCTCCTTCCGGGTATATAAGGGCTCTGACCCTGAATGGGGCGGAGTCTAGTGGCGTACTTACGGCCGTTGCGTTCCACTCTGGAGCGCAAGCCACCGATTATGTTACAGCAGCGCGTCATTACACGCTGCCCGATTTCCTGATTGGCCGGGAAGTGGCTCCATGCTCTCTCATCACTTGTGATGAGAGAGCATGGAGCCACTTTCCGGCCAATCAGGAAGCTGGGCAGCGTGTAATGATGTGCTTCCCGGCTTCCTGATTGGTCGGGAAGCTGGCCAATCAGGAAGCCGGGTGCCGTGTAATGACGCAGCTCCCGGCATTCTGATTGGCCTGGAAGCTGGCTTCATGTTCCCCCGTCATCTCATGACGAGGGAGCATGGAGCCGACCACCCGGCCAATCAGAAAGCAGGGTGTCATTACACGACGCCCGGCTTCCTGATTGGCCAACCAGACGGCTCTGGCTGGGTACCGGAGAAAGGCCGCGTTCTGGCTGGAGGGGCCCCGAGGGTGACAGGCTGGACATACCAAGGTAAGAGAGGACAGACTTTCTGGTTAATCGGGAAGCCGGGTGGTGAGTCTTTACACGCTGCCTGGCACGCACTTACCAAGGACCTCGAAGCCGCATCTGCGAGAAAATTTAAAGTGCCGGTGTCAGCAGAGTGTCTTGTGTACGGGTGCCCGCTGGCTGGACACCCGTACACAAGACGCCAAACCCGGACTGTCCGGTTGAAAACCGGACGGGTGGCAACCCTACATATAATACACTCCTCCCCCTCTCTCCTTTCCTTCCAAGCCCCCTCACCTGCTTGCATCTATGCAGGGAGGAGGCACATCATCATCCCCTGGTGATCTAGTGGTGATTAGTAAGGTCTAGTGCAGACCTTACTAATCATCCATCATTCGGCCGGAGCTCAAAACTGACAGAGCTCTGGCCGGAGCTGACAGGAGCAGCTCTGCAGTCTGCATCCGACAGAGACAGTGTAGCTGCTCCCGCAAGTCCGTGACCGTGGGCCCGACTTGTCATCTGGCTGCGGGCCACATAGTACAGGTTTGCGGGCCAGAACTTTGAGACCCCTGGCCTAGACAGTTATACCGTTTGGTTTGGGCGGTAGGCAAGATAAGTGGCATGGGGATGAGGT